ATAAATGGGATTTATATAGCGCTTTTCTAGACCCAAAGACGCTTTACATTACGAGTAAGGTCGACAAACAAAACAAGAACAAAAACACAAACAAAAACAAAACAGAAAAGCAGTCAGGAGGATGTTGGTATTTAATACTTAAATATATAAAAGAGAGAGTACTTCTGTGCTGCCTCATGGTGTGCAGGAGGTTATAGATATCTTCAACAGTAAGTGCTCACAGAGACAGTGTGTCTAACAGCGAGCATTCAGAGGACGAGAGATCCAGCATCTTGTGTGTGGTGATGTGGATTAGGAGGTCAATAGGTTTCACAACACTAACCACCATCTGCCTCTGACAAGTTGGCCCATCAGCCCCATCTGGAGAGACAGAGTAGACTGAAGTTACACTGACAATACTCTCTAAAAATCCTTAACAACAATATCAGCCTATACAAGCACATTTAAAGTGGACAACATTATCAAAATGAAGCAGCAATTGTATCACCTTCACACCCAAAACCATCACTACTGATCAGCTCAGGATGTGTGTTGCATGTTGTCATCCCTAATCTATCTACAATTAAACAAAGGCAAAACTCCAAAGAAAATGCTATCCGGCCATGATTTTTCTTTTAAACCATATATGGACACATAAAATAAACTGAGAATTGAGTTAGTACAAAAAAACGTTTCCTTCAACATCTAAATGTAAAAACAGTGTCTGCACATACATGATTCTGCACAGTGAAGCTTAAGTAGGCCTAAGTAACAAAAGAGGAAATGTCTCTTTTTTTTTAGGGGAAGGGAGACTTTAAACTGAATATGTGAGTTTAAAGGCACTTTATGGATTCAATCAGTGTGCGAAAGGCTCCAGGCTTTTTCAAACACAGCAACAAATGTCCCTGTTTTAAGATTTCAGCCACTAGGTGGAGTCCTTTATCAACCCATCTGTGCTGAGTTGCAGAAAAGCAATAAGCTTACCAACCTAAACAAAATAGTATCTTACTCTGAGCCGCATCATTCACCACCAGGGCGAAGGGGTTGGTTTTGAGAATGTGGGACAGCTTGCCCAGGTTATCTGTCAGGTGCAGCTGGGAGAACAAGTGTAGGGAGTCCATCATGTAAATATGTTCACTTTGAATGAATGGAATGTTTTAGTATGCTAAACAATGTGTTTCTACGGACTGACCTGTTTGTAATGCTTGCAGAGCACCTTGCTGACAGCATCTGAGAGTTTGACCTCTCCGGCCGTCACACAGGACAAAATTGTTCCCAGAGTCACCATCCCCTGGATCACACTGTGGAAACACACACACAGATAATATATTAGCTATGACACAATTCCTATGGCTTTAAATGAGGAGTGTAAACGGTCTGTACCGGTATAATGATATCAGTATTCTGATTAAATGTTTGAGACCTTTCTGGAAGTCAAGTGTAGACGTAGGTTTACAAATCAGAAGTGCACATTCAAAAAGAGAAAGCGGTACCACTTTACAATAAGACTACCCTTATAAAGGATTCATAAAGGGTTTATAATTAGGTTATTAATTAGGTTGTAAACACTTTATTAATCATTAAGAACCATTTATTAACCAGTTCTAATATAGTTTTCATACATCAACTCAGGTCTCACTATTTGGCAAGATGGCTAAGCCTTATATTGGCACTAGCTTACTTTGTTTTCTTCATCAGCCAGCATCCTTGGTATCTGTTGTTCACTGAATTTCGTTCACCAGATATTTCCATACAACTACTGGTTAGTGTTCAATAGCACCCTAGACAATTCAGTAATGGTATATTTTTTTAGGGATTACTGTTTTCCTGATAAATGAGAGAAAAGTGATTGAGTCCTGTGTTCCTATCATCAAAAAGTACAATTTCTTTCTAAACTAAAGCTAAGTTTGCAGGACTATAATTCAGTATTATTTTAGGTAAATAATTGTCTGACTATTTGGTGATGTAGGACAGCGACCTGGTTCATACCTCAGCAAATCTGAAGAGGAAAAGAGAGGTCATTCTCACGTTATGGGCTTTTTCGTCACCTTTCCCACATTCGGCCTGGTCTAATCTGGCTCTTTTTCAGGGATTTGGGTAGTTCTAAAGAACAACCCAAAAACATTTTTTTCCCCAATTTTAAATTGACAACAATCAATTTCATTAATGGGAGACCCTAAAGATAAGAACAAATATTGTTG